AATAANNTTNTNTCGGAGATTGTTAAAGGTGCTTTATTCATTGTATCCAAACACTGACTATGGGAACCCAACCAAAAATTATTTCCATAAAGAAAACCTGATGTAGGATTTCCGCTCGAATCTAAAACTTGATAACAAAAACAAATTAGAAAAGAAAGTATTATTTAAGGTTTTCTATTATATACAGATTTATGTAAAGAATATTTTAAAAAGAAAGTGTAAACATAAGACACACGCATATAAAAAACATATCTGATACTAGGTAGTAAAAAATACTCCGCCACAGACTAATATTATTAAGAGGAATAAAAATTATTACTTACTCTTTGAATTCCACAGAATGCGGTAGTCGACGGCGTTTTGAAAGTCTTGTAAATCTTTTCTGCATGACGTCGAATTCAATAAATTGGCTCTTTCGGCAATGGCATAAACGGGAAAAATATAACTAATATTATTAGATTTAGAAAATTGTCGAGAAGCACACAGTATCACGCTAAAATTTACGCAGGTACAAACAATAACTGCAAGCTGCCACTGTGATAATATAAAGCAACTAGTAAATTTTCGCACCAACTGCAAATTATAAACAACAATTTTGATGAAAAAGTAAAAAAACGCTAAGTAATAACTTGAATTGCTATTTCTCTCAATCAAATAAAACATTACCTACAGTTATAGAAAAAGTGATAGAGACAATAACGAACCGTCAACAAATAACCTTGAGCGATTACTTCTGCATAAGAAACAATTTCAATAATTTGACGTATGAGTTTCTTGACCTCTTTTTAAAAAATCTGATTTATCAACATTTTGTAAGTAACAATATATATATTAAAATATATATATTTTAATCACAAGATATATATTTAAATATATATATTTTAATCACAATTAGCTAGCTCACATTTTCAATATTTGATTTAATTTACTGAAGTCTATCACATTATTATAGTTTTAAAACAGCAGTGGTTAACATGAATAATGTACCGTGTGTGTGTGTGTGTGTGTGTATGACAGAGAAAAAGAGAGAATGTGTGAGAAAGAGAGAGAGAGAAAGAGAAAGAGGGAGAGAAAAAGAACATAAAAGGTGTAATTTTTGTAAAATTGAGATCAAAAAAAAGATCGATTTAGCAAATCGTCATTTCCTACGTATAATCCCGTAACTCCAAAACGCAAATTTGAGAAAAGAGCAGTTTAAAAGTTTAAAGGTTCTGTGGCGGTCAGAATAACCGCCACCAAAAAGTAAAGTTACGTGCGGCAGGACGCGCGCAGTTCGCGCGCCGCCGCTACGTGGCGCATAGCCGCGAGTGTCGCGCGGAGGCACAGTTTGCCGCGGCGTCTACATATATAGACCCGCTCGGCGCATATCTATCGCCGAACAGTGAGCGGTGCCGAAGCAGAAGACCAGCAGCATTAATCCCGAAGCACCCAGCAACGCTCCAGCGGTCCAGATAACCAGACCAACGTCTCCACGATCCCCAGGAGTACACCTTGGAGCGGTCTTCATCTCGGAACCATTTGGAGTGGCGAAACCAGAGGCAGCCAATCAGAAGGCGGAATCCACTGGATCAATAGAAGAATCGTTCCGGCCGTGGATACTTCGACCGCACAACACCCTCGCCTCGACGGACGCGGCCTCCTAGAGCCCTGCTGGCACAGTGGGACATCAGGGTCCGGAGATACACGTCGCCTAGAGACAGCCTGGTTCTTCCACCGCTCATCTCACCAATACCTTCTCCTCCACGCCAACGGATTCACAAATCGACGCAGACGCTTCCTCCACCTCGCGTACATAGAGGGGTGCAGGGAGAACGACTGGTATATAAGGATCAGTCCACGCAGTCGAGCGGCAGTGACTGGGAACGATCGCCACGGAAAACTATCTCCACAGCAGTACAGACCGAGATAACCGGCAAAGTCGTCCCGCAGCGTATACCGGAGAAGAAGCGACAGCATAGAGAAAGAAGCCGTTCCAGACATCGATCGCCCAGTACGAAGAGAGCTCACTCCCGCAGCAGACGAGAGCGATCACGGCATTGCAGAACCCGACGGAGAAATCCGGCACATTCAATTATACAAACCGGCCCTTATCAGAGCCATGTATACGTTGTAAATAACCTGTAAATACCTCGGAATAAAAACCTAATTTTTGGAACATCAATCTTTACTAAAGAATCACACCTCGGCCGCCATCCTTTTGCTGCTATCACCATTGCTGTCCACTATCGCTGCTGACCTAAACGCACAACCCCACTAAAGGTTCATATAGTTTTCCTAGTTAAGGAATCTTTTGCTTTTTAATTTTTCCTTTACTTATGAATATTATTTTAAATATTTGGTGACCAAAAAAAAGAACATGACTTTCTAAGTGTCACTATGCAATAAACTGAAAATTCAGTATGTGACATTTATGTAATTATACATAGGGAGTGACAAAATGGTAATGAAGCTGAAGAGAGAGGTGTTTCGGAGAGCCAGGGTTTCATTGCTCTGAACCGCCGAAATGCAGGGTCGCGCGATCGATTTCAAAAACACTACAATTACAGATTTCTAAACACCTAAAATTGTTTAAGAATAAAGAATAAAGGTCAAGTCAAGCTCAAATAAATGTAATATATTTGTATTAGTTCAACAATTCAAAACATAAGATAATACATAAGCAAAACGATTCAAATTCTCACAGGAGTCATCTCCAGTCGCGATAAGATAAAATGTATAAAAGGCTGTCGAAATAACAAGAGATTTAACAATTATATAAAAGTATTATATTCGGATATTAAATAAAGATATATTGTTTCGGACGTAAATCCAGCGGAGCGCATTCATATCTCGTGTAGAAATTGTTGAGAGGTCAAAATTGAACAGTAGCTAAATTCATGTAGACCAGAGTAAATAAGTCAAATCCTACATAATTAAGATACAAAATACACACAACGGATTTTGTGGATGCTTAAACATCCTGCTGGACGTTTTAATTAGAACTATTTTTCTTGGAAACAGTACTGAGAACAATAGAGCGTCTCCGGAGTCAGTCCGCAACATCCGTAGCTTTCTGATTAAAACTATGCGCTATTCTTAGTGTGCGTCTTGCATTTGCGAGATCAACCGCAACTTCCGTATGCAACTCTATATAAAACTTCTCGCGACTTCCAGCGTCGTTGACGCTTCCGCTGCAACCGTCTGGCACGCGTTGCAGTTTTTCTTATAATAAATATACATATTGTCATGCGTCTAACAGTCTTTTATTATTTGCAAATACTACATATATTGTTGGTATTTATTTTGTAAACATATTGCAATCGTCGCGCCTCTCCCTCTTCTTCGATCACCACCACGCGGCAATCGCAGCGACTAATCGATCGACGATTCAACGACAATTTAAAACGATTGTGGGATCGCGGCGACAAGCGTAGCGCGCGTTTCGAACGGCAACAACACGCGTTTTTTCGTTAAACAACCGTTTCCGATACGGATATCAAACGTCGAAAAACGAACGCGAC